ATTTAGATACATGGAAGTTTTCTAATGGCCTGTCACAGCAACCAATCAACCAACCAACCAAGTAAGCAAACTACAGAACTTAAGTCTATTATTTAAATAGTCTAGAATGGTTTTAGTTGGACTCTTAGGCTTACAATACATCTTTTAGGTCGGGGTGCATTCATAGTCCATTATTTAATAATAATAATAATAATGATAATAGAATTTATTATTCGTTACACAATTAAATGTGTTTACACTAGCGGTAGCTTGACGATTAAAAATGTTTACAGTTGCGTTTACACTATCGTAAAACTCAAAGTTTAGAGTATTGTTTTATGTTTTCCTATAACCCTTATACGTGTATCTATATATTACAAAAATATAACGCTTACCGGCAAAAATAATTTGCACACATATCAAAAGAAACGTAGCCAGTTTAGTTTTGCAAAATTACATACACTTACAAAAATAATTTGGTGGATTTAACCTCAGAAAAAGAGGTGTTTCGATAGTGAACTACAACAACAAAAATTCATTTAATTATATTTTAATTAATGGAATTTTTGGCTGACCATACAGCTGTTTCGAGTATTGCAAGTATCCATCATCAGTGGTCTTGGAAATAATTCTTGTATTTAATAATAATTTTTTTTTGAGACTGCAAGTAGCAGGAATCGAACTCGTGCCCTGCCAAATTTGAAGCTTAGAGTCAGTACTCTTTAACGAAGTGACTCAAAACCGTACTTGAGTTTTATGTTCGCACATTTTTCTGAAGTTTTATTGTTTTATTGTGAAAGTTTTATTAACAAATTATCTTACTGAGTTTATATTAGAAGGGAGTCATAAACCAGCTGGAGAATAATTTAATTAATTAATTTTTTTTATTTTTAATTGTTAAATTTCAATACTATTCTGTTTGCAGAGGCATTATTTGTGGCTTGATTTATTTATTCTTTCTTATGTGTAGAACCTAATCTAGGAACGTTATACTGAGAAAGTCATGCTAACATACTGTGAAACAACGATCAAAATATCAACCATTCCACATGTTGGTTTTCATATCTTCTTTAAGATATGAGTTAAAATTTTTCGAACAAAATGATCAGATCAACTAAACTACTATTTGGTTAGAATATATTTTTCTAAGTGTAGATATATTCATATTTTCTACCTCACTTTTACAACAGAAACTGGTTTCAAGTTAGTGTGAAACCGATTTTTGTTGCTCGTGTGAATTAGTTGGGTAAAAGGAGGATCAAATAGTGGTGTTTCTGGTATATAAAATTCTACTTAATAAAAATAATAATTTTAAAACATTGAAAATATTGATGCTGTCAAATAAAGTGTCTAACTAAATAATAAGAATAATCAATTAGACGTGATTTTTAGTAGCTTAGACTTTCTTATGGCATCCCATTTTAAAGCATATATAATACAGTTGATTTAAAATTTTGTACAAACTGCGGATTTGAAATTTTGCCGGTTAGATTTTAAAGCACGGAGATCTAGCTTATTGTTGTTATTATAATTCTTACAATTGGCAATATGTCAACACTAATAGAAATATTCTAATAGATGTGTGGAGGCGAACTAAAAAGTTCTATTCAATTTTATATCCAAGTAAATATAATTTTACAATCAGACCTTACTTCATTTATATGTGTTTATATATATTTATATATATATATACTATATATACTATATATACTATATATATATATATATATACTATAAATATATACATTAATTTATAGTCTTATAAGTTGCAGTATACCCCACCCGCCGTATTCACCAGACTTGCCTCCTTCCGACTACCATTTGTTTTCATCGATGGGACACGCATTGGCTGAGCAGCACTTTGATTCCTACGAGGAGGTCGAAAATTGGGTGTCTGGTTGGTTTGCTTTAAAAGACGAACAATTTTTTTGGCGTGGTATCCACAAATTGCCAGAAAGGTGGTCAAAATGTGTAGAAAGCAATGGCTAATACTTTGAATAAAATGTTTTTTACTTTCCTATTAATAATTAGTGTTTTATTTTCACCAAAAAATGCTCATTTCATACCGGTACACCTAATATGTTATGTATGTAAAGTTTTATTATGTTTATTTATAACAATATGAGTTGTATTGAAATAAAATTTATGATCCCAGCATATGTGAGGAGATTATACTAATGCTAAATTTTCGTGTCATTATTGAAAATAAAATATCAAAGGGCAATGATGATTGAGTGACACGCAATAATTAGATATGTTGGTTATACACAGTCATCTTCAATGCAAATACTATATGCGTTACAACATTAATTTAAAAATATGCCTATTAAATATTGAACTCTAACATTTTAAATAGCGTGAGAAGTAATTTTTAGAAATTTTAGAAATTTTTAGTATCCACATAGAGCTTATTTGCTTTCCTGAATAGCGTAGCGAATTTCCAAAAAAGACTTAATTACATCATGACAGCTAACGGAGCTGTATATGTTATCAGACCATGACCATCCGAGCGAAATCAACTTATTTGCTTTAATGTCACTCACTGTTTACACCTTTAGAGTATTTAATGGGTTTGCTATTGTTTCGTAGTTTTCATACCACAGTAAATTTATGGTGCTATCATTCATAATTGATAACATCACTGCATTAAAGCAGCCTCGAAGCAATATTCATTCCATACATATATGCATAGATATACGTATGACTTCAATCAATTCTATATAAATACATTCGTATGGGAGTGTGTTTGGGAGCGTATGAAGTCACCATTGAGCTTGATGATTTATACGTTCATACATAACATAAAATGCACTTACCTTGCCAAATATCGTTAGGCCGCCATGTTTAACATTGTATGTTGGTGCGTCTGCATAGCTTGAATCAGCCCATGGAGTATGACAAGTTGACGTCAGTGTCATATAGCGTACTCCAATTGCATAGAGTGTACGTAGCACTGCCAAAGAACCTCCCAGGGAGTGACCACCCTCAACGCCAGTTAGTGAACACAATTGATGATTTTTGTGAGCTTCGATTATATCTTTTAAAGCGTGAAAAAAAAAATAGAATATTCCAATTAGTTTTATCTTTTAAATAGTTATTGAATCTTAAAGAACAAATTTAAGTATATAGAAATAAGTTTATTGTAAGTCAATAGCGAGAAGAAAAGTTTTGAGTAGACTAGCCAGGTATAATAAAGCCGTCTACAGCTTCATCTTATTAGCATGGCTTTTCGTATTATTATTTACACCATGTTTTGCTAAATATTATATACAATATTAATAATAATTAATTAATAATTAATAATAATTAATATAATATTATTATATAAATATAATATTAATACGTAAATATGTTTGAACCATTGTTAATTACCATATATATTAAGCTTATAATATATAAAGTAATAAATAATTTTTTTAAGTCATAAAAAATAAGTTAATGACTGTGGATCCAACAATAACAAAACTTATCTATTTAATCAAAATATTGGGTGATACAAAACTGGCATTTTTTAGATTTTTTCTAGATTCTAATCGAGTATATATTCGCCGTTATTATTTATAACCTCTTGACACTTTTTGCGTAGTTTTATAATTCCAACGGGTGTAGGTGGTTTATGTGGTTTATTGGCGAAGTGATTTTTTGTAGCTGTTTGGAGAACCAGTCCTTTATAATTAAGCGAGTTTTCAGAAACCGAAATAAATGATAGTTAGATGGTTCCATTTAACGGTGGATGCATGAAAACTTCCCAAACAAGTTCCGCTAATTTGCTCCGAGTTATCAAATATGTGTGTGGTCATGCATTGCCATGTTGGACAACAACTTCTTTTCTATTCCTCAATTCTGTTCGCTTTTCCTAGATACTTTTTTTCAAAGTGTCGAGCTATGAGCTATATAGCACCGAATTAACCATTACACTGAGCTGGAGCAGTTCGTAAATGACAATTCAATTTTAATCCTGCCAAACATTCAACATAATCTTGTTCACTGTCAACCATAACTACGAGTATAAAGTCGCTTGTGGACGGCCACCGACCTTTGATCATGATTGTTTGCATAAGATATATCGCCGGTAATGATTCGCTTCAAAACTGATTCAATTTTATTGTGTTTCACTTATAGTAATTTCATCAATCAAATTTTTCACGTTTATTCGTATTGTATCCAAACATCGAGTGCCTTTGCGTGGTCTTATTTTAAATGATTCCAAAGTGTCATATGATTGATGTTTAGTATTTCTGCTATCTCCTGATTAATAGGTGTGAATCTAGCTCCATCATTTGTAAAAAATCATCAGCTTTTTCACCACCTGGTCCACTAGAGCGAGGTGTTAGAACGTTTATTAAAATCTTGCTTTGCTCTAGCCATCAAAATGCCTCAACATCACAACTTTTAAAGCTTCAAAGAGTTTGAGCTAAATTTAGGACTCTACTGAAAATCATTCCAGAAATGAATTAAATCTCATTCAATACACATTGGCAAGTTATAAAAATTGAATTGAATTTCATAATTGTGTGCGCTTCGAAGTTACTTTAAGGTTTTGGTTCCATTATCGAAACCCAGTAAGAAAGGAATTTTTATATGATTACTAATACGTAAGCTTTTACTTTATATATCATATAATGTATCAAACTGGATTGAAAGTTAATGCAGTTTTGTGTCAAAAATAGAAATTTTAACCTTTAGTGCCATATTTTAGTATTTAAATAACAGACATTGTGAAATCTTTAAGAGCAATCGATGGAATGAATTCTTAAATGTGATTGTAAATCACATAAAATCCGCATCCACAGGCGAGAAAACTAACCATCTTATATGGTGCAATGGACAGGACACTAGTGCATAAATAGCAACTAATACCCTGATACCTGCAGTCACTTTAACCACCCAGAGTTCAGTTTCCTGCCTTTGTTCGACTTTCACAACATTTGCACCTTTTCTTTACATATCCTTTTCCTTGGCATTTTATTTCACCATTTTTATGATTCCGTTTCTGATTCTATAGTTATTTTCTCGGTTTATTACAAGTGGCATTTTCAAGGATTTCCATTTTGAGATGTGCCTGTGTGCAAATAACTTTCAATTCGAAGATTTTGCAGTTCGCGTATGCAAGTTGTTGGAAAGTGGAAAGGAAAATTCTGTTGGAGTCGAATGCTTCAATTCAAGATGGAGACTGTATGTGCAGAATATTAAACTGTTGTTCACGTGATGTACTTGCAAGGCTTTTATATTTGTACATATTTTGTGTATACATATATTCACTAGTAGTTGAGGTAGTTTATTTTTTTTCTTGCAATTTGGGTTGTTCCCCTCTATTATATTCCGCTTCGTTACACATGTACTTAGTGTTGTAAAAGGACGCAACGAAGTAGTTTTCACATTTGTACATTTGCTGTGCTCTGGAGCTTAGTTGGTGTTTCACTCCTTTTGCTTTCTATTTTTGTATTTCTGTATTTCTGTATTTCTGTTTCTATTTACTTAAACTTCCTTAAGCTCTTTTTTGTATTTCTTTTCTGCAATATTTATTTGTTCCATATATCAAGGGCTTAAGGTAGTACCAACATAGTTCGAAATTATAAAAAATGGTGGCCAATAGAAAAAATTGCGAACTTTACTGATTTTTTATTGTTACTTGATTTTGCAAATTAGTAAAATTTTGTAGATATTTTTAATTCTTCTTACGCTTATTAGCTTTTCGGGTGAACTCTGCAGTTTACTGTTGTTATCCGTTTAAATTTGGGGAAAGTTTTTGGAGGGCTTATTAAATTTTAAATGGGGTTTTTGGGTTACCAAGTTCGTCCTTTCACTGAAAAATACTTTTTGTATTATAAAATACTGAACTTGTGGTGGAAAATTAAAAAAATAAGAGAATAAAATTATGGATCGCAGAAAAAATATGCGAAGGTATGCTTGAAAAATCATATTTAATATGCATCAATGGTCGAATGCATGCAGAATTGCAATATAATATAAAAAATACAATTTAATTAATATTAAAATTATACTAAATATTGCACTACAGTGAGCACCATTGAGTCATAAAAGTTGCACTTATTTGGTAAATTAATCGTTAAACTTGTTGGAAATAAAGGAGTAAAATTTTCGTTATTCTCTCTCTCAAGCATTCAGTTACCATAATATATATTGACTATATAAACATTGTTGGCCCAATGTTTCCCTGGGAACGCAATGGATTGAAGACGAAGATATAAACTTTAGATGTGAAATGTGGAAAAGTTTGAGATGTGATATTTTGTAGGTATAGTATATAAAAAAATTGCTAAAAATCAAACGAATGAGAAATTGAATAGTGCATTTGATAAATGTTCTTCCCATCTCGTTCTCGCAACCCTGTGTATTCGACAACACACAAAATTTTGGGTGTAAGTGATCTAAAATGAGTGTGAAGAAATGTTTTTTGAACTATAAAAAATTAAGATAATTTACACTAATGAAGTTAATTTATATAGCTGTGGTTTATGCGTTAATTTTAATTAATGAAACAGCAAGTACAGTTCATAACACTTATAAAAATTTGAATAATTCCAATTAAGCGTATGTCAGTTTTTCATACTTAAACTGGACCCACGTGTTAAATTTTCACAGGGTTCAAATTCGACAGGGTTCAATCTCTGACACGTGTAATCCAAAAATATTATAAGAACAATTCAACCAATATATGTTTTTCAAAAACCACTGATGATGGATAACCAATATCATCACTTTTTGGTGATATTCGAAGCAGCTATATTTTTTTTTTTTATAATATAAAATTTTTTGATTTATAAATTATCTAAATTATTACTATCCCCTTTTTGATATGTAATAGAGTTCTTGTCATTGGAAAAAAAATAATTTTTTGTAGATAATTTTATGTGCATTGCTGATGAAGAATATTTTTAGGTTTACGTTTGTCATAGAATGTCTAAAGAATTCTACTGTAAAGGTTTGAATAATGTTTTTGGGCTAATGATCGGTACAGGAATGTCTAAGAAATTCTATTCTAAATGTCCGTTTGAGAACGTCTCTCACTAATATTTTGCTTAATATAGAATTTTAAGACTTGAATCGTGCAGATTTTTATTGGCTTACTAACTCAGACTAATACTTTCAGATCACAGGATCTTGCAGGGCTTAGAAATAGGATTGTTTTTAAAGCTGCTGTTGTCTTCGAACTCTTTTTTAAACAGACTGATGGTGTGTGTCATCGTCTAAAGCAATTATATGTTTATACTAAAAGTCTTTAAGTATGCTTCTCACAAATATTTACCTCGATGATAGATTTAAATGGTAAAATAGAGCACTTTTCATTGGCTTGTTCGGCACTTCTCAAATCAAATGATCTTATTTGTCAGGCAACGGATTTGTTTTTAAAACTGTTTATGTCTTTGAACTTTTGAAGAAACGAATTTCTTTAAAATAATTCAATATCGAACTCTTCGTTTTTAAGATAATATCGCTCAAAAGCACATTATTTAGGGCTCATTTATAACGTTAAGGTTATCTTCAATCACACTGGTTTTTACAAGCGTATGGTTGCTTCAAATGTGGAGTGTGGAACACTGTTATGTTAGAACAAAAAGTCTTTAACTATATTCCGGCATTTCTAAAAAAACGAATTTTTTTAAATGATTCGATATCGGATGTCATTGCTCTTCGTTTTTGAAATAATATCACTTAAATAGTAAAGTATTTGGAGTTTATTTATGAAGTTGGGGTTGTCTAAAAACGTGTGCCATTGTCCTGTTGAAACGAAGAGTCATCCTGCTATAAATATGCAATTTTGAAGAAAGAAATTTTTTTTAACATGATGCGATATTGGGTGCCAAGGAATAGAAATTTTATTTTTTAGAAAAAATATCTCTCAAATAACGCATTGTTTGCGTGGGGTTTTGGTGTCTGATGGATCAACATTACTGACGAAGTTACTGAAGCAGTAGTAAGTCATCATTCAAGTGCTTTGCGTTTCTTGTTTTTCTTATTGCTATGGGACAACCAATTAAATACAAATGAACTGATAATTTTTAAAGTGGTTGC